AACCCTAACTTTTTCTGGGGCCCTACCCTAACCCTAACCCTAACCCTAGGGGGGGGGGGGGGGACCCTAACCCTAACCCTAACCCTAACCCTAACCCTAACCCTAACCGGGGGGGGGGGGCCTAACCCTAACCCTAACCCTAACCCTAACCCTAACCCCTAACCCTAAGGGGTAACCCTAACCCTAACCCTAACCCTAACCCTAACTAACCCTAACCCTAACCCTAACCCTAACCCTAACCCTAACCCTAACCCTAACCTCTTCCTCCTTGTCCTCCTCGTCCCCTAACCCTAACCCTAACCCTAACCTAACCCTAACCCTAACCCTAACCCCTAACCCTAACCCTAACCCTAACCCTAACCCTAACCCTAACCCTAACCCTAACCCTAACCCTAACCCTAACCCTAACCCTAACCCTAACCCTAACCCTAACCCTAACCCTAACCCTAACCCTAACCCTAACCCTAACCCTAACCCTAACCCTAACCCTAACCCTAACCCTAACCCTAACCCTAACCCTAACCCTAACCCTAACCCTAACCCTAACCCTAACCCTAACCCTAACCCTAACCCTAACCCTAACCCTAACCCTAACCCTAACCCTAACCCTAACCCTAACCCTAACCCTAACCCTAACCCTAACCCTAACCCTAACCCTAACCCTAACCCTAACCCTAACCCTAACCCTAACCCTAACCCTAACCCTAACCCTAACCCTAACCCTAACCCTAACCCTAGCTGATGCCTCATCAACCCTAGCCCCACTCCATTGCTTCCCACCGACCACCACTCACTCCACTTGCCACTCACTGCCTCCTTGCCACCCCTACCCATCGCATGCATGACCCACATCCACATTCCCACCCACCTCACCATACTCATCCTCCACCCCACCATGCGCATGGCTGTGCATGGGCGTGATTTGAGTCTTTGATGCTGATTCACAATCCCCATCGCCCCATTGACACTTGCCCGTGTCACTCGTTCGACCGAGTGGCATGTGCGGGTTGTTGGGTGAATGTCATTCAACATTTTCATGATTCGCCACTTGTCACTTGTTCGATTGTTTGACATTCCATTGATTGTCATTGATCATTGTCAATTGATCATTCGATTCCTTCTGCTTCTCTTGTTGTTGGCCGATCATGGTCTTTGTTCTTTGCCGTTCATGTTTCCACATGCTTTGTTGTTGCTTTTGTCGGCCTTCATGTTCTGTTGTGGTTGCTCTTGCTTTTGATGGTTGACCATAATTGACATGCATTCCCATTGATCATTCCTTTCGCTCTTATTGTTGCTTTGTATCATTATTCGTCATGCTTCAATTGTTCTTGACTCCCCTGTTTTCTTCGACCTTGACTTCCACATCCACCATCGGGCCTTGCTCACTACACTTTCGATTCTCATCTTTGTTGTCGGTTGTCGTGGTCAATAGGTGTGCATGCAATGTATTGTCGTGGTCATGGTTGATCTGCAGATCTGATCGATCAACCGCGCCCTGTCTTATCGAGCTCAACGTGTCCCGAGTCCATCCCATTGCCTGCCAGCCTTACGCAGTCCCTGTTGGCTTACTAGTATGTGTGCTGTGTAAGCCATGTAGGAGCTGTGGTTGTTGGTGTGGCCATCATCGCCTCGTTTGATGCCCGCTCCGGCTTTTCTTCATTTATTTCAACGTTCAACTCCATTAATGTCTGCCGCTCTCCTCCTGCCGCCCAAACCCCTCCACCCTCATCCCCCACACCCCACATATACCCATCAGCCGTATCATACCCACCTTTATCAATGCTCAAGCCCAATCGCCATACCCATCATCCTTCGCCCGCGACGCCACCCACGTCACGACCCCCCTCATCCCCCCCTACCATACTCATCACGTCCGATCACCACAAACCACCACCCGCACCCCCTAATCCACCACCATCACTATTATTCCAGCCACAACCGCCACCCCCATGCCTTGGCCATCCTCACCACTACCCCATCGTGCACCCCGCACTCGGCTTCCTCTTCCTCCTCATAGTCGTCCTCTCCCCGCCCCAGGTCACCCCCATCCTCACCCGCGACCCCGACACCGCCATCCGTCAACCATTACTTGCCATACTGCCCATCCGTCAACCAACAGCAGTCTCAAGCCACCCAGCCCTGACCCAGCCCCCATAGCTTACCCGCCTCGCCGACCACCAGCCACCAGCCGCCGCCCGCTCGTCCGATCGGCCCACCTTCATCACCACTTAGCTTCTTCCCACTACCAGCTACACAACCCTCGACCACACCCAAGGTTATAACTCACCGTGCACTATTACCAATACCAATATCGCTGTTGTCCATACCCATCGACCTCGGCTCACTTCCGCGTCGACTTGTTTGCCCTGGGTGGTTGAGCACGCCCTCGACCGCCCGACCCCGCACATGCCCCCCACCACACACATTGCAAGCTAAGCTCAATCTGATTTCACTACTGCCCTACTCCATGCCCACACTACCCCCATGCTCGGTGTCCAATCCACAGCTGCAGTATTCCGGAATCCGAGTTCTGCCACCTGAGGCCCAACTTGTTGGCCCTGTGTCCCTTCGATGCTGCTGACCCCCCAGCCCCGGGCCCATGCCCGCGGGTCATGCTCAGCGCCGAGCTGAGGGACGACGTAGAGGGGCACCAGCTCGGGGCGCGCCGCTGCCGGGAGCATGGGGAGCGTTGCGCGAGCCGAGTGGTGGCCGAACACGGCAAGCAGTCTCGTATGGAGTCGGGAGTCGAACGCATCCGCTCGCAAAGCGCCAAGCTCCATTTTACACCTTGAAATTCGAGGTGGAAAATTGCACCGGCGACAAAAATCGGCGTCAGGCCAACCCTTAGCAATAGCTGAGGGTCTGAGAAGGAGCAGTGCGCGCAGCAGTCAGACTTCCACCCACAACAAACGTTAAGCGCCCAACCATGCATGGGAGAACGCGCAGAGAGGGGCGGCCATGCTGGCGTCACCCTTGGAATAGCTATCGCCCGATAGCTATCGCCCGCACACGGCATGCAGTACCGCCGGGGCTCGCCACTACGCCCCCCTCCGGCGCTACACTCAACTATAACTCGACAACTCCGCTCTTCTTCCAACGGACGTGAACTGAAACCTTTGCCATGGTACGTCCCCCCCCCCCCCTCCCCCCTTTCCCCCTTCCTTTCGCCGTCTCCGTGTCGTGCCCCGCGTAGCACTTACAGCGCCGTCCCCCCCCCGCCCACAGACCGACTCGAACAACGTTTTCGCCGGGTACCCGAACGACGTCGTCCGCGAGGCCCAGGCCGACGTCGACCTCTTCAACCGCGTGAATGCCGTCAACCATGTGGTTATTCCTCATTCTGTGACAACCCTCGCCGCCGTGCATAACGGCCACCTTGCCCAGCTCCGCCTCGGCGTGTGCCCTGACGACTGGCTGCTCGCGCGTGACGGCTCGTGGGAGCTCATCGCCAACGCCGACGCACCGTTTGATACCTCGGTCTGGACTTTTGCGCCGCATAAGCCTGGCGCCCCTCCGGCCACGATCTTTGATGCCCTGGGTCGCGACCCGGTCGACATCTTCACGGAGAACAACCGTGCTGCGCTCCAGCGTTCCCTCCGCTCAATGTTTGGCTGCCGTGCTCGGGGTATGCCCGTGCCCGAGCCTGAAGCCCTCCAAGCGTACCTCGCCGATCGCCTCGCCCGCGTGGCCGCCAACGCCCCGCTGACCCCGCACCGCTTCGACCTGCTCGTCTGCTCGTCATCCATTGTATTTGTCACTTTCGACAACCCGAACCATGACCTTGTGCCCGAGTCCACTACCAACCCCGTCGTCTTCTTCGCCTCGCGCGAGGTCGGCTACCTCCGACTCGTCCCCCGGGCCGGCATCATCACGCCCCCGCCGACCGCAGCGCTCTTCGCTGAGTACGCGGACGGCCTGGTTCGCGTCACACCCAGCACTCACGTCGTCTCCATCGGCGATACCCGGCTTTTCAGCGCAGGGGATGCGAGCCGCGAAGAGCTCGCTTGCCGCGAGGCCAGCGCCGAGCTTTTCGAGTACGCCGAGGGTGGCGGTGTCGACACGTACGCTCTTCAGGCCCACGCGCGTGGTCTCGACGCCATCGCTACCTCCATCGCTGACGCTCGCGGTCTCTCAAGCCGCAAGTTCATCGTCATCGGGGAGACGGGTGCCGGTAAGTCGACCGTCATCAACAAGCTCCTCGGCTCTGGCCGTTGCCGCCTTCTTCCACAGTGCAAGTCTCCTGGCACGTCCACCACCTTCGTCCGCACTGACATCTCCTACGCCCCGGACAACTACTCGCTCGACGTCACCCTCATTACTGCAGACATGCTCCACGAGGAGGCGCATGCCTACGCTGCCATTATGGCTGAGCGCCCGGACGAGCAGGACCAGACTCCGGCTGATGCCGCTGTCGTCTCGCGTGTTTCTCGCCTCTTCCGCGGCGATCCGGCCGGTCGCATCTACATCGACGCTGTTTGCAACATGGTGGCGTCCACGAACAACGCCAACGACTGCGACAACGACGAAGAAGACGTTGCGGCCTCCTCGAGCACGCCTGCGTCGTCCTCTTCTCGCTCGCTCACCTCTCTGCTCGCCGACACGCAAGCGTACCGCGAACTCGAAGACCTTCGCGCTGCTCGTCCGGCGCCCATCATCTCGGGTGACGTCAACGACATCGCCGCCGCCCTCCTCGGCGATGACGTGCGTCAGCTTCTCATCCACCGGGTGGTCATCACGGGGCCGTTTCCGCTCCTGGCCTCAGGCGCCACCATTGTCGACCTCCCGGGTCTCAACGACGTCAACGCCGCGCGCCATCGTGACGCCATGGCTGTGCTGGACGCTGGCGGCTGCCACGCCGTGTACGTCGTCCGCGGCGGCATCTCGCCCACAGCGGCCGGCCGCGACCTTGCTCACCTCATCGCTGCCGCCCCTTTCCTCTCGATCACGCTCGTCGCCACGCACATCGACAGCAAGTACAACGACATCATGGACGAGATCGGAGATGACGAGCCCAACAACGTCGCAGCAGCTATCGCCGTCTCCAACACCCTCAACGCCATGCGCGATCTCTTTGGCGACGGCGTCATGCCGACGGTCAACGACGAGCTCAGCCGCCATCCTGACCTTGTGCCCCCCGTCTATTACCACGCCGTGGCTTGCGCGGGCATGCTCGGCTTGGCTCGCGAGTGGAAGGGTATCGATCACCTCTCCCTCCACCTTTCCAACATCGTCGCAGCCGCTGACCGCCGCATGGCTGCATGCTCTGCCCAAGCGATGCCCGCCTCGTCACTGTGTCCGCCGAGCTGGCTGGCCTCCCTGTCGACATGCCCGTGTCGTCCGATCCAAAGGCTGACAAAGCTGCCGCCGCCATCGTAGACGCCATCGCAGGTGCTGTCGCCGCTGCTGGAGAGGCCTTTCGTCTCCTGCAGGCTACCGACCTCCCGAACGTCACACGCACTGGCCAGCAAGCCGCGACCGCTGCACTCACCGCCATCAACCCCGGCTGGCCAACCGCCAGCGAGATGTGGGCATCGGCAAGGCGCGACGGCGAGTACGCGGCATATCCTGTCGCCAACCAGACCGCGGAACTTGCCCGCCGCCAGTCCGGCCCCGGCCAGGCCGCCATTGATCTCCTCGCCGAACTTGGCCGCTTGGTGATGGCCCACCGCGTGGCGATCTGCGCCGCTGCCGTGGCTGCCGCCGAGGCTGTCGGGGCGCCCGAAGACGACCCCGCCGCCAGCTCCTCTGCTTGTGGCGGTGCCGATGGTGGCGACGGTGATGGCGACGGTCCCGTCGTCTCCTCGTTCCCTACTGTCATCCCCGACGTCCGGGCGGCGGTCGAGAGCAGCCTTGACCGCTGCGATGCCGCCCTCCTCCGTCTCCATGCATCCGTCACCCGCGTTCCGACCCTCGACGCGGCCCGGTCGCAGCTTCAGCGGCGCATGTCGGCCGATTACGCGCATTGCGCCCAGCTGTGGGGCCAGGGTGTTCAACCCTCTTATCGTGCTGTGGTCAGCGGCGCGCTGGCGCGCGCTGCTGCGCGCGAGATCCCCACGTGGCTCTACGAGCTCGTCGCTCGCCGCAGCACCGCCACCTCGCTCGCCATCGACGACATCATCGCCAACATCAACGACGTGCCCGCCAACATTACCACGGCCATTGTTCGCCCGTCCATCCGTGGCTCTCACCCGGGCGTGCGCGCCGCCATCGAGCTCCTCCGTGCCGGCATCGGCTATGTCGGCGAGGGCGTGCCCGACGCAGATCTCGCGAATCAGTTCGAGGCCAGCTTCGACGGCACTGCACTCCAGTGCGAGTACTGCCACGACCTTCTCGCCGACCCGCAGCCGCTTGCCCCCTCCCGGACGGGTCGGCGCACTTCTACTACTGCCGCGCGTGCATCGCTGTCTTTCCCTCCCAAGACCGCAACGTCCTTGACCAGCACACCCAGAAGTACGTCGACCCGTCCACAGTGGAGCTTTTCGCGGGCGAGATCCCGCCCGATGCAGCCATCGACGCTCTCCTCGCCGCCCCGGCCGGCCAGGCGTGGCTCGCCTCGCAGCACGCGGACGAGTTCCGGCGCAGGCGTCTGGCGCCCCTTCCGGCTTTCTCCGACAACTCGGCGACTCTGAACACGGACGTCCACGCGGTCAGTGCCGCCCTTGCCCAGCATGTCCTGGTGGACGCGGCGACCATCGCCGCCGCCATCAACGCCCTCGCCGCCCAACGCGCAGCTGGCCACAACGACCGTCTCGCTCCTAGCCTCTACCGCCTCTTCTGCCTCGCGCTCGCCCTCAAGCGCGCATATGTCAACGCCGCCGGCATCGACTCGGATCTCGAAGCTTTCCGTGTCGAGCTTAATACCATGGCCGTTTCGTTGCAGCAAGTCAATGCCACCGCGCGGTACGTCGTGCCTCGTGACGTCGTCGACGCCCCCGTTCTGGACCTCGACGCCGCGTAGCTCGTCACACCGTCACCGCCTGCACGCACCATCTCGATCACAACCGTCGACCGCCCTCCACGGTGGCCGGCAAGGAGCTCGGTGCGGCGCGCACGCCTCGGCACCCCACATCGTCGGCCCCCCTCACCCGGGGCCGGCAAGGAGACGCGCGCGCACAACCGCTACACCAACAAACAACCGTAACTGACTTCATTTCCCTCCCCTCTTCCCCTTCCCACCCCCCTTCCCCTTCTTCTTCCTCGGCCCCTCCGCCCGATACTTGGGCCCGCCCTCCCACCGCGGCCCAGGCTCCCCAACCACAACCCCGCCGCGCCGCTTCCGCTTGCTCTTGTTCCGCCACACGCCCCACCCTCCCATCTCGCCCATCACGCCACCGCTCGGCCGCGCGATGACGAATCCCGCGAGCGACCGGCTCGACTCGCGCGCGCCGTACACCACGTCGGCGTCGGCCGCGCTCGCAAACGCCACCACGGCCTCGCGCTCGCCCGGCCGCGTCCGGATGCTCACCACCCGCACGCCGACCGAGCCCACCACGTGCGGCAGATCGAGCGGCAGCGTGCTCTCGCCGTCCGCCGCCACGCTCACCACGAGCGCCCGCGCCGCCGCGTCGTCCACGGCCGTCACGCCCCGCGGAACGGCCGCCGGCCGCGCCACCAGCGGCGAGAACACGGCGAGGTGCCCGAGGCGCGGCACGTACGAGACGCCGACCCTCACGTCAAACGCCCACCCGCCGACGCCCACCCCGCACCCGCGAGCACCACCCCCGCCGTGCGCCAGCGCCGCCGCCCCGTCCACCCGATGCGCCACGCCCGCGCCCACCGACCCCGCCCCGCCGGCCAGCCCCACGCCGTTGCCCACCACAAACCCGCCGCACGTCACCACCCACGTCGCCGCTCCGTCTCCCGGCCCGCCGGTACTCGCACACGAGCGGTCGGCACACCACCTCCCGCCCCGGCCGCGTCCCACGGGGAGGAACGTCCGGCATGCCCACGCCCGGGCGCGCTGACGAGGACAAAGCGCGGCGGGGCGAGGCGCGA